ACACGAGCAGAAGGCCAGAACCATCAACACTAAACACGTTCAAAGGGGATTAAGATGACCAAACTATATATTAGAGCATTAAAGCATAAAAATATACATTGGCTTAAATAGATGCATACTGATAATGTTATTTATTGCCAAAAGTACTGTGATAATAAATTTAATAGATGCGTATTTATAAACTTACTGCTGTTACACACTTCGAAATGTTACCTGGGTAATTGGGAAGAAGTCTCCTGACAGCGTGCCCTGCAGGACGAAGTTTCGGGTGGTTCCTATTAACACAACGTCCCCTTTTCCCTCTGCCACTGTTCTTATCGGGCCAAACTGCTCTGGAATCTGTGGTCACGACAGAGAAGTCAGACAATTTGTCACATTTTATTATTATTTTTATGGGTATATGGCCTAGCAAATGCTTTGTAATAAATGCTGCACAGAGAAGAAATGAAATGGATTTACATATATATATGTATACATATATACACCTGACTTAAAGTTTATAACAACTTGCATCAGTTCAAGATCTGTCTTTATAACACTAAACAAAACACATCCTTATCCCTAGGACATACTTTTTGTACAGATAAACCAAGTATTTCAACAAACAGAGAGGGTTCCTTCATGCTGTGTTAACTCCATCGTAATTTAATTGCAGCTGTGGTATCAGACCAAGCCTTCCTACTCAGAAATAGCATTAACCTTTGTATCGCTACTGCCTTCTTACAACTTCTCTTTAAGTGCAGCCTCAGTTCTGAAAGAGTCACTGCAAATCTCCAATGCGAGGGGAGATGTAAAACTTAAAATAACAAGGTGTATCACTGTATGAACAAGTGAGAGAAAACAGGTTTCTACAACGCAACTGAATTCAATTTAGCAATTCGTTTTTAAATAAAGAATAACACTAACCAAGCAATTGATGAAAAAACCCAGGTGCTAAAAAAGGCCTCACATCATTTTGGAAAGTAGAAAAGTATAAAAACATTTTAATATTGTAAAACTCTGAAGTAAAAATGACCTCACATTATTAACTGTAAAGAAAGGATGAAATTATACACAAAAGTAAGAACACGAGAGTTGTTTTCCAATTACCTTGGGTCTTAAAAAGGAAATACTATTTTACTGAATATGCTAGCACAGGAATGACCTGATGGCTCAAATGATGTTACCTGTTATCACTTTCTTGCTTTCTCACAGAATACACATAAGAAAATAAATTATTAAAACAGCTTGTTCAGAAGACAGCTAAAACTTTATGCTGAGTAGCGGAGTAATTAAAAGATAGGTGATACCACCTCAGTTTTGTGAAGTTTTTGGTAATTTCCATTCCAAGATATCAGCTTTCGGTCCTTTCCACCTCCTGACACTAACGTGCCATCTCGCAGCATGCACAGCGCAAATATCCCGCCCTCGTGCGCCCCTTGAACTGCGTGGCTTATTCTGTTGGTACCTGCACAGAAGAGAGAAGAATTACTACTGAAATACTCACCTTACCAGCTGCTTTTTCCCCAGTTTTTTCCTCTGTTTCTCTACTACCTGTCACAGATGATGGGAATGGAGTGTTGCACCACACTGAGTTAGTCAGCCTGAGGAACATATTGCCCCCATCCCAAAAATCACAAGTACATGTGTTCACTTAGTCTCGTTCTAACACAAGGTGAAATGGGTGCATTTAAACCTTTCACTGGGTTTGAGGTAAATAATGATTACTGGTGATTCTACTAATGAAATGTGCACCTTGCATCAGAGCTTGGTTAACTTCATGTTAGGAAGATATAAGTTAGAAAGAAATAACTGCTTTTTCCTTTATTAATTCCACCTATGTCCATCCACACCTCTGCATATGGTGTGTTGGCTACAAGTGACTGCCATTAAAAGAAGATTTAGCTAAGGGAACTCCAACCTTGTGTATGCAGCCCTTGCTTGAGTCAAAATTAGAAAAGACATAGAAAGATGCTGGAGGGAGTGGAGCATCTCCTGCTGAGGAGCGGCTGAGGGAGCTGGGGCTCTTGAGCTTGGAGCAGAGGAGACTGAGGGGTGCCCTCATTCCTGGGGATCCATTGGGAAAGGGCAGCATCAGGAGGAAGGAGCCAGGCTCTGCTCTGGGATGGCCAATGCCAGGACAAGGGGCAATGGTCCCAAGCTGGAGCACAGGAGGTTCAAGCTGAAGATGAGGCCAAAGTTTGTGAGTGTGAGGGTTATGGAGCATGGCCCAGGCTGCCCAGAGAGGTTGTGGAGTCTCCTTGTGTGGAGACACCCAAAGCCCTGGCCGTGTTCCTGTGTGACTGCTCTGGTGATCCTGCTCTGGCAGGGGTTGCACTGGGGGAGCTTTCCAGGGCCCTTCCAACTCCTGATATTCTGTGATTGATTCTGTTAAAAGGGGAGTAAAAGAGGAGCTGAGCCACAAACACCACATCTACGCCCCTCATCAGCAGCAGTGTACTGAGCTCAGTAAGGCTCAACTGATTCACCAGGTTGCTTCCCATGTCTCATATCCTTTGAGTCTCCTGGGAGAAGGCACTGAGTAAATGAGCAGCAGCTATCATCCATATCCCTTCTTCCTTTCCTAATAAGGCCTCCTTTAGGGGATTCTCCTTATTCCTATGCATGGCATCTCACACACTAAGTAAATGTTTCGGATGTTGCTGCTGTTTGCCTTCTGGCAGGCACTGCCTTCTGCTGCCTAAAAAAACCACAAAGGCTTTTCTTACTAGAAAAAGCTTTTCAAGAAGTTTGTCCTATCCATCTGTTCCTTTGAAACAAAGCTGAGGAATTCAATTAGACCTGCATACATTTTAGCTTGACTTCCTAGGAAAACAAATAAAGCTATTTATTGTCTTTTTTAAAGCGTCTGTCAATAGGCATAAATTTTGCAAACACTGCAGAGTGACAGCACAGGGGACTGGAGATAATCAATTACATTAACAGCAGTTCTTGCACTGATTAAGGAAAAGATTTCTTGCTGCCATTCCTCACGTCAGTAAACGCCGTACGTGCTGGCACCGATCTGTGACTGGACATTGACCTTAGGGAACCCATTGGCAAAGAACTCAACATAAACAAAATTTATTCTTCTGAAAATCAGGCTACACTCATGTAAAAACTCAGATTTTTTTATATTAACATTTCACTATTAACTTCAGTCTTGTCTTACCTTTCCCCCAGACCAAAATGTTTCCGCTTGAGTCTCCTGTAATAGTATCACCATTTTCAGAAAAGGTCACACACAGGACAAACTTTGGCTTCTCTTGTTTCTGCATGGTTACGAAAAATACACACTCACAGCAACACACAACCCATTCATTTTCACTGTGCACATCTGAGTAACTGAGTTTAGTCTTCTACAACTTAATTACAACAGCGAGAAGGCCTGATGACGTTTAACACAAGGCCAGGAATGCTCGGAGATAAACCAAATCCCAAACTCCCACTTAATAACAAAGGTTTTAAGTGTTTTGAAATTGCCAAAGAAAAAATTTAAATGCATTATATCAGATATATATAGATACACAGACATAGATATATAGACATAGATACATCAGCTCCGCCAGATTGCATCTGAGTAACTGAGTTTAGTCTTCTACAACTTAATTACAACAGCGAGAAGGCCTGATGACGTTTAACACAAGGCCAGGAATGCTCGGAGATAAACCAAATCCCAAACTCCCACTTAATAACAAAGGTTTTAAGTGTTTTGAAATTGCCAAAGATAAAATTTAAATGCATTCTATCAGATATATATAGATATATAGACATAGATACATCAGCTCCTCCAGATTGCACACAAAATCTATTAATTGCCATTCTGAAATAGTTGTTTTGACTCCAGGAGCAGTGAACCAGGCCCTACGAGAGTTACCTGCAGTCACCACAAACATCCTCGTTTGTGCTGCAGAGCTTGGGCTGTATTTGAGAACAAAACCAAATCCAGACCTTGAAATGGAAATTACATTTACCAAATAGTGGCCAGCTCAGTCTGTATTTGAATTACGTGTGTGTATGCATCTGAGCAGAACAGAGGAAAACAGAAGAATATTCACATTCAAGTAATTTATGGGGTTTTGCAAGTCTTTCCTCTGACAAAATCAAACAACCCCAGCATAAATCACTCCCTATTTTTTTTAATCAGAGCTAAGCATAGAGAGTTTTAAGGTAATTTTATTTTGTGGGGTGTGAGGAGGGACATAGCATAAAGAATAGAGGGGAAAAATGCAAGGAAATAAACAGTATTTGCATTTCCAAACTTCACTGTGGAAGTTTCACCCATGGAAGAGTTCTCTGTGCTGTACCTTGAATGCTGAGTTTCTGCAACATTTCAAGTTTAATAACTACCGGTTGTTTTGATTTACTCAACCCTTACTTCTGTATGACTGCATCATTATTGCAAACATAAAATTAAGGAAACAGAAAATATTTTACCTCAAATAATCCTTGCTTTTTAACAAGGGAATTCCCTTCTAGTGTCCAAAAATAAAGGTGTGATTTTCCACAAGTAACTATTATATTTGTATCAGTAGGGTGAAAATCTGCAGCAAATACAGCCTCATTAGAGCACTTGGAAGGAAAAAAGAAAAACATTGTATCAAAATTTAAAATTCAAAGAAAACCAAACAATATGAAATGGTTCTCTAGTTAATTAATCGATCAACTCCTGAGTTAAGAACAGCTCTGAGCTATTCATTTATTAGTGTAGACTGGAATACTTGGTTAAATACTTCGAAGTATTTAATAAATACGTCAGATAAGTTAGTACCAGAAGTTATCCTTCAAAGCTATGGCAGATATTGGGAAGTTCTACACAAAAAATGGTTTAAGACCTTTCCCTTCTGCACATGCTCCTATCACTGCTGCCTTGACTTTCCTAATCAATTCTAGAATCATTACAACAGCAAAATTTAATAAAACACAAACTATTGGGATAACAGCGAGAGGAAATACTCCCTTTCTTTGTGTTCTTTGCCCTTTATAAAATGGAAACGTTCAAAAGGCACAAGGTGTTGAATACAGAAAGACATTTCACGACAAGAAATCCAGGTTTTCATACGAGTGAGCAGGACAAAATCTCTTATTGCAACACCTTGACATCCGCCAGCTTCTCCTCTTTCTGCCAGTCCCACACAGACAGCACGTGGTCGTTTGAGTCGTCCACGGAGCACAGGCTGCTGCCTCCGTTCTGCGGCAAAACAGGGGAAATATCAGTGCATGCCCCAACCAACGTGCATACACCTGCAGAATAGCTCCATACTTTCATGTCGGTGAAAATCGTGACACATATTTACACTTGAACTGTCACACTTTTAGTTATCCCACTGATCTCCATGAAATGTAAAAATTTATAGGACTGCTGCAAAACAGAACTAAAAAGGGATCTAGAAAGACTCTTGCAAATTGTGGACAAATGGACTTTGTCAGGAATGAGGTAGGGATCTCTTCCCAAACACTTAATGATGGAAATTCTCAAGGCAAACTACACGTTATCATCTATACTGTTAAGAAAGCTTTTCCTGACGATGATACTGAGCTTCTTTCTTTGCAATTTAAACCAATTCCTTCTCGTCAGATCTGCTATGGACAGGGGGAACAATTTAACTTTTTATAGAGGAATAATGGATCAAAACCAGGGAATGGTGTAGGAAATTAGAAAACAATGTATACCTGACAGGTGTTCTTTTATAGGTGTATCTTCTATCAGTCTTTATAATCTTATTGACCCTAATTCCTTCAGTCTTTCCTCATGCATCGTGTTAGCTAGACCCTCTCCAGTTAGCACCCATATTTCTGAGGTATGAATCCAAAGACTGGATGAGGAACTCCAACTGAGACTCAGGTGACAAACTCATGTTTTTATATGGGACTTGAATGCCACCTATGTCATTTTTTTAACCTCCTCGTAGACCAGAGCTCAAAGGATGCTGCCAAGAGGGTAAAGACAGGGTTCTAATTCTTTACAACCCTTTATCCATGTGTCTTTGCCGCTTTCAAGCAAATATTTTTCTTCTCCTATGGGAGTTAGCATTTTTAAAATCCAAAATCAGAGGTAAAATCCACCGTTAAGGTCTCCCATCAGTAATTTGTAGGCACAGTGTATGGGGTTAAAAGATGCGGAGAGAAGAACTCTCTTACGTAGAGATAAATGCAATGGGGTGGTTTAAGAGAAGTAAGGATACTGAGGGTTCAAGAACACAAGTACTTCTGCAACTACTTGTCCTTGGAAGAAATCAATTGTATTTTACAGTACGCATAAGGTAGGCCTCTGAGACTGCAACATAAACTGCTGGAAACAACTGGGTTGCAAGCTCTCCTCCTCTAAAGAGGAAGCTGAGAGAAAGCACAGCTTGGAAGTTTATTTTGGTGAAGGAAGCTAAATCTGAAAGGCTTCAAAGGCTTGTTCAGCAAACATTCTTAATATGACTATTAATTTACTATACTTACAGATTTGGAAAAAGCAATGCACGTGACAGCTCGGTCGAAAAACCCCATTCCGATGACGTGCAGCGTATTCAGAGTTACAGAATCCCAAACGCGCACGTGTGGCGGCAATTGCTATAAAACAGACACAGAAACAACAGTTGAAACAAGGCTGGGAAAAAAATCAAGATTTAAAGAAATGAGACCGCATCCAAAACCCCATTTTAATACAATTTAAGGGATGAAAATCATCAGAACTCCTCTAAGGTCTCCCGTGTAAGCACAGATACAAATGATTGCTGTGCTCCCTCGTTTTATTTACCTGAAACACTTTTCTAAGCCACTAGAGGGCATCCACGGGAAGTATTTGCTCACTAAGCTTGAGTTTAAAAATAGTTAAGAGTTTAACACCGTTATCAACAAACTCTGCAGGAAAACAACGAAGGTTATGTTTTACTTTTTTCCCTGCCCTTTCAAATAAAGTGAATATGGTTTATTACCATATCAGAAAAAAAAGCAACAGCTGTCAGTCTTTCTTCCTGATCAGTAGTGAAATTGCCCTTAAAAAGAAATAAACCAAGGCCACCTCAGTATCTCAGTTACAGAAATTGCTTTTATATAAGTTTAACTGTACACCACATTCCCCTCAAGGGCAGACATCAAACATCTACAGCTTATTTCACAAATACAGTGGTAAGGAATTGTATTTATGAAGCTGAAAAAATAAATCCCAGACATTTCTCCAACAGACAATAAAAATGAATAGTTTGTGTTACTCAACTAAGTTATCTTTACATAAACCTGACATTGCAAAACTGGGACTTCATTTTCCTCACTTATTTAGTTAACATACTGATGATCCATTCTTATCCTAATACTCTTCATTGACACCTACCATAGTTTCTGCAATAGTCTGGCAGTGACAGCAGCTGCACACTCTGCTGAGTAACCTTTTCCTCGCTCTTTTCCTGCCTCTGCTTGTACCCGTTATTTCTTACTTGTCTTAGCTCTTTGGGGCAATGTTCATCTTACCCTGTCCAAATAAATGTATGGCCTACAGCTAAGCTCTACGGTAACACCGTAATAACAGAAACCCTTGACCGATCTTGCCAATGGAACTGGGTAACTCAGAAATTAAGTTTTACTTGCGTTCAGACCTAAAATGTAAGACCAATTTAACTGCAACATGAAAAGAATACAGCATCTATTTTCTTCGTAGCATATTCTTATGAAATATAAGCAGCTGCATGTCAGCAGAGAGGTCACTCACTTTCCCATCCTTGGATGTCCCTGCAACTTGACCTGTCGCTATAGTGATCCTATCGGGGTGGACAGCCAGGCTAGAAAGAAAGGAAAAGAGAGACAGGCCAAACTTAAAGCCATTTATTATCTACTTCATCAAACCTTTACATGAGCTTGTAATAAATAGCCCTATTTTAGTCATATGAAGCATACAGCACACGTGTAAATATTTTAAAAAGATAAAAGCAGAAGTTAAAAAATTATTTTCATGCTTTCTTATTCAAAAACTTCTTCATCCCTTATGAAGAAGGCAGTAATATGCTTAAATTCTAATACCTCAAAGCATGAGTCAAACAAGCCCCAGCCTCACTCATGTTGGGATTTATCTGACCTAGATTTAAGTGACTGCAGCGTGCAGGAGTTTACAATCTGAGCTAGTTACCTAACTTCTGTTACCTCTAATCAGAGGTGGCAGAGATCTGGTCAGTACAGTCAGCATCTTCTCAAACATTACTTTTCAGACGGTATGACCAGATATTCTGCGACTTTTATCCAACTTCTCTCTAATACTTTTCAAAAGGTAAAATAAAATCCTTTAGTAATGAAGACCAGGATACAGAAATCAGGAATTTTGGGTCTAAAATTAAAACTGTTATTTTAAAAGCTGTGATCAATGTTAACTAATGTCTCTAAGAAAAAGAAACCTAAAAGTTGTATTATAGCCTGGAGTACAGTCTGTTTTTGCCCTAAATCTTCGTTTCATTCTTTTTTCACTGCAGCTGCTTTGTGTATGGTTCTAGAGGCCAAGTGCCCTGCAAAATGAACAATAATTCATTCAGCTTTATAAGGCAGAAAGGTATCCTCTTTCCAATAAACCTGAAAGCTCTGAAATATCTAGAGAGTCAGAAAATTTGAAAGAAGGAAACGAGACGGAACAGGTCCAAGTTAAAAACCTCCTCGGTTTTTAAAAAAACAACCCAGATTATGCAAATAATTCAGTTTTATGAAACATGCTCACAAGGCAACAGATTTGGCCACCAGCTCTGTTTTTGGCTTTGAGGGACAAGAGGTGTTTCATAATGCTTCATCTAAAAAGATGTCAAACTCATTCCATACATCAGGGCCCATCAGATAATCCAGGCGCTCTTTTTCAACTCCACTCTGCAAGCCCACAGATACCATTGAGATAAACTGTATGTTTATTTAGTTTAATGATATTGGTATTGTCTGATACCTTGTCTCCACTAAATCACTTTGAAGGCCAAGCTGGCAGGCCTGCACGGCAGCAGGCAGGCCAGGCCGCGCGGGCCTAGTTTGGCCAGACATGCCTGAGGATTACCAGGAAGGCCACAGATGAGATTAAAAACTGTTTTCCTGGTTAGACTGAGCCTAAAGGACCTGTATTTGGCACCCAGACTCAGGGAGAAAATGAATAATTAAATCCGATTTAAAAAGGGAAAGGAGAAGCGTCTAAAGTAGAAGTTAATGTCAAATCATCCTACAAACAGTAATGAAAATGAGTTGTTAGCAACTGAGGCAGAGAAACAAGCAGTAACTTGGAGAACGAATGGGTACAGGCACATCCAAACGGGGCAGCACAGCACACACGGCAGCACAGACTTCAGGGCAGGTTTCACAACCAAACTCTGTCTTTAGGGACATATTTGGATATCCTCTGGTCTGTGTCATCACATCCCAAAAGCAGCTGCTTCATGTGCTGACTAGACAGAGCTATAACAGACTTTCAACACTCTTACCATGACTACACCCAGACCTTTATTTGATTGTGCAAAAGGACCCCAACCTATGTAATTCCTAGAAGTTAAACCAAATTTGCAGAACTATGCTAAAAGAACAAAACATTATCTCCCAGATACGGTTTAATGAAGAAACAAGAATGGTTACCAGGTGACTTACCACTTCACATCATCATTATGACCGGTGTAATGTCTCTGAAGTTGCTCTTCGACATTGAACAACACAACTACAGACGCGATGAAATACACAGTTTCGCCCGTTGGAAGAAGATAGAGATTACTGCGACAGTCCCGACCCCTATAGCCATAGCTAGCGTGTTGGTCAAGCTGCAATAACGTTATCTACCAATGAAGAACGTTAGAAATAAGGAAAAACCAAAACGGATTCTCTGCCCTTGTATTTCCTGCAGTTGGCGACTCTTGGCTTGAGCACAGCTCTGGTAACCTTCTGAATTTACTACAGTAAAGAGAGCTAAAGTGTTTCCCAGGCCTTGAGCTGCTGGAAACCTGCACATCCTACAGAAAATATCTAGTAAAGGGGACAGGATTTTGTGACCTACTATCCTTTAGCATCCACTGGAATTCGCTAAACGCCAGACTAAGGCAATATTAATTTTGTCCCTAGTGTATTTACTGTTTACACTGCTTGACTAATTAAAACTAAAATCTAGGCTTGATGGAAACACTAATAAGTCATTCAGTACATCTCCCCGCATTACATTAGGATTGATTGCATTATCCTTTGTGCAGGTTGATTGATTTCATTATTCTGGGCATTACCAGCCAGATGGATATGAAACCGTGAAAGGGTTACATCATCCGCTCCAATTTATTTCTGGAGTGTTTAAAAGGCAGTGGCCCAGATTCTGATGCTAGCCATATCAACACTAATCTAAAAATTAAGCCAACGAAATAACTGGAATTAATCCAGAAATAATCTCATTTAGACCGAATGTTAATTTGGCCAAATTATGCAGTTTTATTCTTCTGGAGAGTCATTAGGGACTACAACTATTTTGGCTTTCCTTTTTTATGGGAACAGAAACAGCATTAGCAGAATCTTGGCAAAACAGAAGTGCATTCTAATTCGGTCAATATGGAGAAACTGACTGTGATAAATACATGGAGAGATACTGAAACCCCAATTATACAGTATTAAAAAGAGAGTTATGCATTATTCTCTATGGTCAATGATAAACCACTCCAATTAAAAAATCCATGCTAACATTATCCAGGAAGAAAGGACGATGGTTATATTACTTCTAAAAGAGGAATTTAAATAACAGCTTGCTGATTTTCCTAATAAATGCAACAGACGTAGTGCTGCATACTCAACCATCAAAATGTGCATTCAAAAATACAGCATTTGGACTCCTACATAGAAATATTTCAGTCAAAGTTCCTTCAAGTTTGAGATATTCAAATCTGAAGGCTTGTAAACAACTAATCTCTTCAAATAAAGCATTTATTATCAATTCTGAATCTGGCTGTGAGGGTTAGTTACTACTCCAGCTTGCGGGGCAATGCTTTATTTGTTTAAATTTATTTTTCTCTAGAAGGCCAGATACCATTGCCAACTGAAGCCAACATAAAATTTCTCTAGTTGAATGCTATATAACCAAGTTTATAACGAGCTAGAGGTTGAAGTTAGCTTAAGGAACTGAACTTTTTAAAAAAGTGAAGTAAAAACATACAGACATTCATAAGTAAGAAATGCCTGTGCATAAAACAGCTATTAAATGGGCCAGATTACATTCCTTAGGGAAAATCTCCTTTCTTTACGATTCTCCCTGTGGGGAACAACGCTGCATTCACCCCATCCGTGCGATTGCTGGTGTCAAACACTCGGTTCCTTTCTATTTCCTTTTTTCTCAGATGTAAACTCCTGGGGCTGATCTCTCCTTCTCCTCAGTTTCCCACACTCGGATTCGGAGCCTTCAACTTTGATTTGGTGAGCTGACACTTCAGGGAATGTTATCTTGACCTCCTCTTTTCACTTCCCCTGCAGCTTTTTGTTTTGAACCTCCCGCTTGCCAAAATCCAAAGGGATCCCTGCAGACACCACCGCTCCCGCCACGATGTCCCTGGTGCTGGTTTCTCGCTGGGATTTTACCACCTCTGCTCCCTCACACTTCATCGCTCGGCATTTCTGCTTCTTCGTGTCTGCATGGACCTGATGTGGCCTGAATTTCACCCAGATACCTGCTAATGTAAAACCCCTTCAGGGGTCACATCAGATTCTCCCCCTATTTCTCATCATAGCCTGCTTTGCCCCCTCCATGTGTCCCTCTCAGCTCTGATATTTTGTGCCTCTATCCCCATTCTTACATTATGAAGCTCCCAGCTTTTCTTCTCATCATTATCTATAAATCTAATATAAATAATAGGTATAAATTGGGCACTAGCTTTTCTCTCTCTAAAAAATTCTTCTATATACCTAGTCATTGGTGTAACTTCTAACTATGGATACGATAACGGGATTCAACTGCAAATAAATCAAAATATGAAAAAAGAAAAGCATGGTATTTTTGGAGAAAATATGCTTCCTCCTCAGTGACCATTCAGCATCATTTTATTAATTCATACCTTTTCTATTCATAGGCAACCTTTATATGTAGGATTCTGCTGGGCATTCACACACACACCTGGAAGGACATGTGGATATTCAAACTAAAAATACTCCTCCATCTGGCAAATTTGCAGTCATTTAAGCAAGCTTAAGTGAGAAACTAATGAGACTGAAATGATAATAATTGATAATTATAACTTCTTCTAATATCTGAAATATTAGCTTCAGCTCCCACCTACGCCTTGCTAATGGCAATCTGCTTTGTTTTGCGGTTGGGGTTTTTTGTTGCTTCAGCAAGAATCCCAACACTTTTCCCCATATTATCCCCTCTAAGCAAAGGGCACCTTACAAGTGTAAAAAGACAATTTAATCGTCATTCAGATCTGTTGTGGTCTATGGCAAGAGCCTGTACAACAATTAGATGGTACAACGCTGCAAGCAGTATTTATCACTCTCATCTCAGCTAAATTTGGTGGATTTCTTTGGTTTTCAACTCATTTTCAGTTATTTCTGTATGCATCAGCTGTGCAGTTCCAGCAGAGTGGGGTAGAACCTACAGGCTCAGCTGCAACAGGAATCATAAGAACGGTTACTAAAATCTGTCATTAATCTCCTGCGAATACAATGGGACTCTTGGAAACTCCCTGCGTGCATTCTGAAACCACATGCAGTTCTATTTATACAACTCTGAAAAAGACTATTTGCAGCCTCTCTGCTTTTTTATGGAGACAAAGCAACTTCCTATTTGCACTGTTTGGGACCAAAACCAAAAAGAGAGTATATTTCTTAAAATAGAAAGCTTTATGAAGACTTCATCTCTCTAACGATAGACTCAGACTGTGTTGTGTTTATATTTTACCTGGAATCATCTGTTACATATATTAAGATTATAGAAAAATGAAAGGTCATTTTGCTTTTCAATAAAGAATGTATTCCCTCGTTACATTTAAAAGTGAAATGTGAACACTTCTCTATGGCGTGAAACACTGACTTCTTTCAAGTTGGAATTCTGTAATTATGTCCATTCACAAAAAGTTGGTGGAAAATTCTGATTGCTGGGTATTTATGCGGCTTAAACACAGTTTAAAATCTAAATTCAAACATTCTTTTTGTATGAAATTAATTTTATTGCTAAGCATTACCACTATTAAATTCAGGACTTATTCATTACTGAAGTTGATGACAGCATCCTCGAAGGCCAATGGTGCATATTTTATAAGACACCATTTAAAATGAGAAATTACTGCTGAGAACCAGCAAAAAAACCCCTGAGCTTGTTTTCCGCGTGCAGTAATTAATAATCAGAGCTTCCTGTGTTCTCACAACATGCCTAGTTTAATCTTTAGCTAATTAGCGTGCTTCAGACTTAACCTTTAGGCAACATTTCAGCAAAACCTTTCCTAAGCTGCCACCCCGTACTTCATGAGGTGCAGAGCAGCCGCCTCAAGAAATTCACTGGAATGTGATTTCACTAATGAAACGAACCCTATTAGTAACGATCTTCATTTTGCTATACTTTAGCTTCAAAAAAAAAATGTATTATTTAAACCAAATCCTCAAGAAATGCTTGATTTGCAGTCGTCCTCCAGCACAGAAAGGATACACCCACTCCAGTTTAAGCCTCTTGGCTGGTAGCTCTACTTTTGCTTCCAAATTGTAAGACTCCACTTGCTCTTTGGGCATGTACATGGTAACAGGACGTCCACGCAGAAACATTTTTACGTATCCTTCCTCTACAAAAAGGTCAGAAACGTTCAGGGTTACACATAAAAACCATCAGCGGAGAACTGCAGTGCTCCTCCATCCCTTCCCGCTTAACCCTCTGGTGCACAATTACAGAAGGACATGCAATCTCAAACTTCGAAATTAAGCAGATTTTGGGGTTTTTTTTTTCCTAAGTCATAATCAGTAAGCAGAATTTTTTTTAAATATATCAAATCCCTTTTTCCTCTAAAGATTTTGAGCAGCAGAATTAGAACTAAACAATGTCAGGAAGAACTACAAAACTGAAATCAAAACTTTTTTGGTGAAAAATAACGTTACAAGGTTACGGTTTTTTTAAATACTAAAAATGAAGGGGAAAACATCAAAGATTACAATTAACGCAGAAACGCCACTTAAAATTAATTTTATTTTTTTAATCAGTATTTACAGTGGAGCATCAGCATCTAAAGTATTTTCCAACACTCAGTCGCATTCTTTGCATCTCAGTGTAAAGATACGCTTTACACTCGATACAGTGTTAGAGATACATTCGAAATAATCAGGAAACACAAACAATCGGTAAGAGGAATCATGCTGATGTACATGCAGAAAAGATACGTGCTTTCAGAATTACTAAACAGCAAAAAAAAAAAGGAATGACAACATTGACAGCACATTAAAAGAAAGGAAATGACATACAGGAGAGAGGCTACAAAAACTGCATTGGCTGACAGCAGTAAACAGTTCTAGAAGAAAATACTAAAAGTAATGTCTTGAGCTGGTAAGAAATATTTTTGGGGGGAGAGAAGCAGGGATTAATAACAGATCTGGAAGTACTGACTTGGGGACTTCATGGGGCTTATAAAACTAGGAGATCTGGGAAATGCCATGAAGGTCTGACTAGGACTTTTGGGAACTGGCAAGGCCAAAGTGGGTGTCCTGTGAACTTCTGGTGAGGTTTGTCCAGATTCAAATCGTGCTGGCTCTTGCTGCTCCATCGGCAGATCAAGGGGTTCAGCCTTGTTCTCATGCGAATCAAGCAGTTTTGGAGTCAGTGACATCTGCAGAGTTACTAGACAGAATAATCGTGGGCACAGAGGAAATGGAAGGGCAGAAGTAACAAAATCATGTAAACGAAAAAAAAGGATACAATTTAGGACTGTTAAAATGACGCTATGAATTGTTAAGCAGCATTACAACTATACCATTATCTTTTAAAATTTGAAAACTAAGGCTTTATTTTAATCGGAAATACGCATTCACTACAAAGCCTGGCTAAACGAGTAAGAATTATCAGTCAAACAAATAAACACCATAGCTACACTGCATCACCTGAATATTTTTTGCCTTTAGACTAATTCATGTGGGAATGAGATCTGCCTGAGATCACGGTAAAGTTACAGCTAGGGCTCCCTAAAATCCCTTCTTTTCAATTGATACATATAACAAAACCAACAGAAAACAGAATGCTAAAAAGAAGAAATAATAATGTAAAATAATGGTGACAGATGGTGGAGCTTAAGATGCCTGTTAAAATGCTAGAATTGTTTTTAAAAATCTATTCACATAGAGCTGTACTGGAAAACAAACTGAAGAGGGTTGAGCATTAAGTAGCCGAGCATCACAGCACTATTTGTAAGCGCATGCAGCTTCTATTTCACAAGCTCCAAACGTGCCAATGCTGCTGGTCCTGCTGCACTGGGAGTCCTTAGATTCTCAGTGGTGACAGCCCCTGACTGAGCTATCAAATGCTGGGAGTGAAGGAAAGTTTAATTCCTTGAACTGCTTTTCTCACCTGACACTTACAGGACTCGTAAAACTTGCACTTAGCCACCTACAGTGGTTAAATCTGGCCTAGTACTGACTGTAGTGTTTGACCTAGTCACTCCAGACTCCTTTTTAGAGTAAATAGGGAGAAACAGGTACGTTTGGAGAAATTAATCACATCTTAAGGCAGATGTCCAAACCACATATAGTAAATTATACCAAACATGTATTCAGAAAGCCTGTCTCTCAGCTATAAAGAGGAACTGAGGTGACCAGGTCAGGCACAGAAATCCATACTGTGTGTTTATTTGCAACTTTGGAAAATCTGTCCTGATTTTTGCTAGTAATCCAAACATATTATCTACATAACCAAACTACATCCCTTTCCTCTTAAAAATTTAGTTATGAAAAATAAGACAGCAGAGTTCTAAACGTGAAGATAAAGATGTAAAGACAGACAACCATCAAACTACAGAGACAGACCAATGGTGAAACTTTGAGACAAATGTATCTTTTACATCTGCAGCTGTGTAAATTTGAAATAATCATCGAAAATAACTGTAAAAATTAACAGTTACTGAACTGAACTACGAAGGCACGTGAATGCCAGTAGGATCTGCAAAGGAGATCGCTACCGATTGCAGGCTTAAAATTGCACAAAGAATACACGGAGGTAGGGACGCTCTAAAAGATTTTTGCCTCGCCAACAAACAGGCTTTGCTTTGTGAAATTTTAGATTCGTGGCAAAGCTGAAAGACGCTGATTAGTGGAAAAAACTGTGAGGATTTAGCGATCTCTAAAAAGACAGATCTGTGACTGTATCACAGACATAAACATGCATCAAAAATGTGCATATTTACACGACAGTTTAACTAAAGCTGTAGAAAACAATATGGTACGGTCACCAAATTCAACTCTGCTTTATGACATTGAGCAAAAAGCACTGAGCAATTAGTTGGGAGGCCTAGGTCTGTTTATTGAACATTCAGAAAAATCTACGGTCTACTCGGCAAGAAAAAGCAAGGGAAAAACCAAGCCGTCTATAACCATGTTAGGCTAAGAGCGAAACAGCCGACATAGGGGCAGATACTACGAATTTCAGCAGAAGTGCAGAACACCATTTCAAACACAGTGAACATCCACGTGTTGCCATATAGCTCTCTCAACATCTTTGTAATTTTAATTCAAATTCTTCCGAAAAACTTCACAGGGATCTAAATTATAACCCGCTGTGATCACTAAAGTGCACCAAGGGGGGTTATAATTCAGCAGGCTGCATAATAGATGGTATAATATTTTTGTTTCGTTCAAAAGTAGGGACGTTTTAAGGTTGCAAAATAGGCGCAAGGCAGAAAATAGGTGTTGATACACCGAGTTTTTATGGCACTGGGAGCGCTTTGCTTCGAGAGCTATGAGGTCTGGGAAGTGAGGCCTACCTTTGCAGTGTGTCACACGCCGCTTCCCTTGCGATTACAGAGACAGAGACAGAAGGGCTGGATAAAGATGTGTTTGAATACAAGAAACTCACTAAACACCTGCACTCCCTGCCCAAAGTCATCTTCAGCTGGAGGATTTTGGGCTTGACAACACGTATGTTGGGTAATTACAGCCAAAAAGCCCTTTTCCTCCAGCTAGGAGCTCCATTTAATTGTCCCATCATTAAAATACTTCCTTAAGCTCCGTTATGTGAGTCTAAAATACCAAGTAGCACTTTCTTAGGAAAAAAATCATTAATTTCGGTAGGAATTTCATGCAGGGTGAACGTAGTGTCACATCTGTTTAATTACTGAGCTTTATCTACAGGGAACATGTCAGAAGAAAAAATTACTCCAAATTCCCTTTGCTTACGTGGTGCAAAGGAAGGGGCAATGTTACACAAGGAAAGTACATTCTGTGTGAATCGGTTTTCTTTTTCTAAACCGTTTTCATAAAAGGGACATGAGCTGCCACAAAATACTTAAGTGCTTACTCAGTTGTACACATTATTGAGTTCAAAATGAACGACACTGAACCCTGAAGTATGGCTTAAGAGCTTTGTTGGATGCTGATCGATCAGCTCAGCAAACAAAACGTTTTCTACTTTCTCAGCCTAATGTATCATTACTGTTAGAGAACTGTACACCGAAATAATATGATACATCTGATAAATCAACAGGTCTTCCCCTTATTTCATGAAAAGAAAGCTTTTGTTTTAGCTATCCTTGTTTTCTCAGAACAAAAATAACTGCTATGTATACAATTCCGCTCTGTATTTTTACTGAGATGGTTCAAAAGTTTGTAACTGTTTAATGACAAGGACAAATTCTGCTTTCACTTGTACCTACTAATTCACCTCCACATTCTTTTTACAGGGATAATATGTAAGGAGGAAATAGGAAAAAAATAAAGTGATTTTCAAATTAAAATACTTCAAAAACTGTAGTAACAAAACATCTTTTTTTATTTGTAACTTGACAAGTTGTGTTACAAGGCACTGGGACAGATGTGGCACTCTTTAACAGCAGTTGAGGGCTCCCCTTTCATGCCTAAATTAACATGACAGCATCACAGTTGAACTTGGCATATGCTTTAATTAACGAAACCTTAATAATGCTTTGAAAGGGAAGACGTATCTGGGGTAAGGAGACACGGCTGTTGTCGTCTTTGTCTCCTTACAAAGAATCCTAACTGTAAAATAAACCTATTGGGCCAATAAGAACTGGAGCAAACTGATCAGCTTTTGTAAAAGTATGTCATCAGTAGCCTGTAAGTGTCATGTTTAGATTCCCAACACCAGTTCCTAGGCATCCACAGAAAAAAGAATAATCTACTATGTTATCACAGTTGTTATCTACTTCAAAATTTGAGAGGTTCCTACCTGCACTGAACATTGGTTCCTTGGGTTTGCTGTGAAAATAATGAAGAAATTTCTGTTTTAAAAAGCACTCATATACAGTCTGCACATATAAAGGTATCCATATAAAATTAAAAACGAATACAATATAAAATATATTAAATATTTGTGTGTGTGTACATACAAACAGAAATATTTTTTCAATTCAAGTATGTACAAGGTACATCCCCAGGCAAACACAATTAAAACCAGCATGCACTGTGGCTCCTTGATGGCCGGTGTTAAAGTTTTTGCATTCAATTCTCCTCACATTCTCAAAACCAGAGATTTTTCCTCTACCAACTACCAGATTCCCAGCCCTGGCAGCGTTAGTCCAGTTACAGGAGGACACAGAAAGAGGTCATGATCAGTTTTGGTTTCCAGGCAGTGAGATTTGTTACTCCAAAGCAGCTGAGGATCATAACAAAAGCTAGGAATGTATCTTTATATTTATCATCGGTGCACGTGTGGGTGTTCATTCACTCCACGGCTTTGCTCTCTCTGGGTTTAAGGAGCAAGCCAACATTTGGATCCTGCTTTTCCAAAGAGCTTGAATAAAAAATGAAACAAGGGTTGAGGGTGTTGTTTCTGATGAAGCATGAAAGGGACACACAGCTCTATAATGCAGTTATTTTTCCTCCCAGTTCTATTTTCTTTCTATCCAGTAAAACTTTTGAAATACCCAATTACTGTTGTATACTTCTTAGGGTGTTCCTGAACGGGTTGAAAGCCCCATTATTCTGACAGCAAATAATTTCACAGTATTTTTCCTTTTGCCGTGATTTGACAGTTACATTAAGAATAATACATTTGCTTAATGTTTAAACCGGACCAAACAAAAAGAATTCCACTGATCCTGCCCATTGGTTTAGCAACTTTCTCATAATATCAGCCTTGGTATTAATCATGCATCAAAATGGGTGCTTCAAGCTGGCATACACAGCCAGTCTCATCTATATAAATAGATGTGTTGCAATTTTTAACACCAAAGTTAACATTTTATCTCATGAATGAAGATATTTTTAGAAAATAAAAACTCCATGTGATGGAGCACTCATCAGAAACACTGCCATATTCGAGACAAAAGAGTCCCTAGCTCTGAACAGCCCATGCTGCCTAATTCCAGCTAATCAAGCTAATGGGAAAGGCTGATTCATGGCAGTAATAAAGCAAATCACGTGCACTTTCTAATTATACAAACCCTAACCCCGCACAGCTCAGAGCTGGCTGCCCTTTTGCTTCTTCATGAGTCTCTTCCTACTTCTCTAACCCTTAGGAAGGTTTACTCCTACCTCATAGCCATAGGGAGTTGGGACACCCCATAGTAGCCTGGGAAATTATGGTCATCTCCTTAATTCTTGTGCTTAAAGCTTCTTAAAATAGATTTCTGTAGCATTATGGTTTTGTGTAACAGCCTACAAGTCTATAGACTTTGAAAAACAATTTCATGATTACTTTTTTAGATTCCTGGCACGCATTCTCATTTAAGCTTCATCTACAGACCAGAGAGAGAATCACATAGTATCTCAAGTTGGAAGGACTGATGATACAAATACTAAGGCTGTGAGTAGACGGTTAAGGAACGCCCTGTTCCTCACTCTCTCATATATACGATTAGCTTCAGGAGGGCAGAATGATGCTCAGTTTTCTCCTAGTCCCATGACTCTTGCTTTACATTTCACACAGTGGCCCAGCTCATGAGACAAGTCCTGAGCCAGCCTCTTCTGCAGGGTAAGGTCACACATCTTCTGTGGTAAGGATGCTCTTCAAGGAGGTGGGGGCTGTGGACACCCTCAGGCTGCATGTGACAGAAATGAGGCAAAACTCTCTATACAACGAGTGCTCTCGTGGTGGCACCAACACCACAAGCCCCAGCTCAGGCAATCCAGTGAGCACTCTCAATTAGTTCTTTGGGATGCTTGCACATCATTTAAGCACTGCAGCACTTGTGTTCCTCCCCAGGTCCAAAGTGATTTCTGATCAATGCTGCTGCTCAACCTTTTGTGCCCTAACAACTGCAGAATAACACAGCTGTTGGGTTGCTATTAGAATATTATAAAAAATTCAAAATGCATCTCAAGTAGCGTGATCAACTTCAGAGCAGAAGTACAGCAATCTTGCAGGTAACCAGTAATTATGTTGTCATGTTTTTCTTTCTCAGCTATTTTGGAATCCACTTTTCAAGTGTACAGTACCTCTGTGTAGCTGCTAGAAGTCACATCTCCCCTTAAATTAAATGGATAACGAGCTAAATAGTAATCTCACCTTATTTCTTTAGTGGCTTTAACATAAAGCTGATTTCAGATAGTTCCTGCTACCTGCAGGAACTCAGGGATATCTTAAAAAAACAGATTTAAACACTGTACTTAGAATTTGACGGGTTTATCTTCCACTGCAAATGCAGAGTTTAGGGACCTTTTAGGGACCTCAAAATTTTTTGACAAAAACAAAACATTCAGGAGGGCAGAATGATGCTCATTTTTCTCCTAGTCCCATGACTCTTGCTTTACATTTCACACAGTGGCCCAGCTCACGAGACAAGTCCTGAGCCAGCCTCTTCTGCAGGGTAAAGTCACACATCTTCTGTGGTAAGGATGGTCTTCAAGGAGCAATGTTTTGATAAAACATGGAAAGGACACTGCAAGATCATCGCATGTTTAAAACCTTTTCCAATTAACTGTAGTTTTTTAATAAAAAAGTAATGGCATTTCAGCAGTGATAGTTGTACTTTCAGCTCACATCCCAGAAAGAAAAGTCTTCCAATCTAATTATAGAAATTTAATTTCTCCCAGCTTAAACTACGAGCAAGCTTTTATCTCCTCAGCAGTCCCTCCACTGGTTGTTAATTTTTCGCTTAGTTTTGCCTTTTGAAGCTTTCAGGCTCGCTTGGCCCTGCGAGGGCTGGTGTTTGGTTTTCTGCTTCAGCGAAATTCTATCGGGTGGATCAAGGTTTGTATTGGCTGTGCTACAAGGGCCTGGGATGATCAGCAACAATTTTGTCCAAGCCTGCCCATGAAGAGACATGGCTCCTAAGTAATCCAAGGAAAGACTGATTTTCCTCTCAGAAATAGTATTGATTTAGGGATTGCTTAAAGAGTTAATCGCTATTTAATTATTTCCTCCATGGTTACTATTTTATAACCTTTTCTCTGGTGGTATTCTGAATTTTTTCACTATTCCCATAATTTGCTAAAATTCTTACAAGTTTCACAAACTTTGCACATTTGCTGTCTTGCTTCATAGCTGAAAACATAAGCCAGGAAACAAACTATTACTGACTTCATCACCCATATTTACACTGTCCATTAGTACACAGCAACCTCAGTCACTCCTTACAACAAGCAAAGATGTTGAAGGGATGCAATAAAGGCATTTTTTGAGCCATAACATCAGCTTATGAGCAACTCAGCAACTCCTACGACGGCACCGATGCCCATAGAGCAGATAAATTAAGTTACTATGTGATCATGTTTCTGCGGTCACACCATCTGTGAAACAGCACCATCACCACCACTACTCAGTGGTGGGAAGCTGGAAGAGGTGAAGTGAAACGGCCAAGACTAAAAATCTGTCTCGGAAATACGGGAAAGAACCAGGTGAGCAATACAGGGCCTTCACCACGAGCAGCAGTGAATCAGCGACTTGTTCAAGACCTTCCTGAGTCTGAAGCTCAGGAATTTTTGTCCAACTGTTGGAGATTTAAAATAAAAAGCTCTCAATATTTGCTAAATTAGAGAAACTGATTTCACTAAGGAAACGAACTTCACTATCAGAGCAGTAGGCAGAGAAAGGAGATGGATACTGAGCTAACGTTACCTTTCACTGTTCTTTTTACCACTGGAGGAGCTGCTGGTGGATCCTGTGCGGTTGCGACTCCCTTTGGAATCTCCATAGCTCTCCCTCCGCCCGCCCGGGGACACGCGCTCAGCTGAACTGGTTCTCTTAACGGTGCTAAGAAAAAAAGGAGCAAGTTGTACAGCGGCACTTGTGAAAGCAATAAATCAATAGTATGCTACCCTAAAAATAACTTCAACTTAGTTTTTAATCGTAACTTCATTTGTTAAAGAGCCTAGATACGAGTTTTGCCAAGTACCTGGTGCAAAAGGGACAAACACTGCTTTTGTCTTAGTCATAAAAGAGAAGATGAGCTAAACCAATACCACAGAGTAAGCTGCAATATCTATTTTCCAGGTCACACTTCAAATCTCTGACTACCACTCCACACTTCTGGACTTTTGAATTCTCTTAAAAATTGAAAAACTCAAAAAGAAAGCACATTACCTGACACTTCCAGCCAAAAGTAGGTCAGAATTTGAGCACCAGCAAGCTAACTTTGAGTCTTAATTATTCTGTACTTCAAAGTTACTTTGAATGCACCATAAAGTGCAATTAATAGGGAGCCTGCCTGTATTTCTCCATTAGGTTGTCAAAAATGTATGCTTCCTACTTACAAGTCTGAATAGATTCCCAAAATCTCCTGACAAGGGGTTTCTGAAAGGCTCAAAGCTTGCCTCACCCTCACTCTTTCACCATCCTTCCTACCAGGGAGCTCTTGTACGACTTTATGGCACGTCATAGCCATCCAGCTCAGCCTGATGGGATAACGTGAGCCAAAACACAAGCAGTATTACTTAGTATGTTAAGAGGAGCCCACTCAGAGTTTACACCTAATAGGAGATAAATTATTGTGGCTATTCGTTAGTCAAAAGCACTTTCCTTAAAGCAGTGCTTCCTAGCAGGAGATGAAACAGCTAAAGGGGCAGGTCCTGAGCTGGGCGATGCTCTTCCCTTTGCAGCAGAGAGGCACAGGCAGCAATACCCAGACTGAGGAATCGCCCCCACGGCAGGGGCTGAATGACAAGACTCGGTGTCAGGGACTCATGTCCCTCATCCCAGTCCTGTTCTGGTTTCTGACCTCCAAGGAGCACAATGGAAACATCTCCTTTACCCATAACATCCCCATGACTAAATGGTCACGGGCAGTGGTGCTCTCACCCCAGAAGCTATGGACACCAACGATCGCTTTCAAGCGCACACCCCTCTACCCAAATCCCAACCACAAGCTCCCTCCTCTGTGAAAACTTCAACTCTTTCTGTTCTTGCTCCTCGAAGGCCCAGTCTCATCCCAGTTTATGGGGAGTGGCTGAGGGAGCTGTGGTTGTTTAGTCTGGAGAAAAGGAGACTGAGGGGAGACTTTATCGCTCTCTGCAGCTCCTGAAAGGATCGGGTAGCGAGGGGGAGGTCGGTCTCTGCTCTCCAGGGACAAGTGATGGGACAAAAGGAAATGGCCTCAAGTTGTGCCAGGACAGGGTTAGGTTGGATATTGGGAAAAATTTCTTCACTGAAAGAGTGGTCTAGCATTGGAAGGGGCTGCCCAGGGCAGTGGTGGAGTCCCCATCCCTGGAGGGGTACAAAAATGGTGTGGATGTGGCACTTGGGCCATGGTTTAGTGGCCATGATGGGGTTGGGGTGACGGTTGGATTTTATAGTCTTACAGGTGTCTTCCAACCTCAATGACTCTGTGATACACTCACCGCTTTTATCATCCCAGCCAGCTCCCTCTTGACAACCCCAGGGACTCTCTGCTTACCACAAAGCCCAGCATCCTTGAGGAATAACCCAAACCTCTCCATCAGCCCCTAACAACTGCCCCTACCCTGCTCAGGCAGCTCCTCAGGCTCTGTCTCACTTGGTTTGTGGGGTAAGAAAAAGAGGAGTTGGCTCTTCATGACTAAGGGAAATGAGAAAGACCTTTCTGGCTGGTCAAAAGATATTCAGCTTATCAACTGTGAGAGATACAGATACAGCTATAGATAGAGATAGAGAGATACAGCTATAGATAGAGACAGCTATAGATAGAGAGATACAGATAGATACAGAGAGAGTATATATATACACAGAGAGAGAGAGATATATATAGAGAGAGAGATAGAAAGAGATATATATATAGAGAGAGAGATACATAGAGAGAGATACATATATATAGAGAGATACATATATATAGAGAGATACATATATAGAGAGAGAGAGAGATACATATATATAGAGAGAGATACATATATATAGAGAGAGAGATACATATATATATAGAGAAGAGAGAGATACAGATACAGAGATACAGATACAGAGAGATAGATATCTATCTATATAAATATGTATTCCTGCTCTCTGGAATCTTTTTACCAGCAAGGAGGGGAACGTTTTAACACCTCAGCTACAGAAGCGATGGGAACAACTAAACCAGAGACTTTCTGCAACGTAGCTGCTCCTCCGAAAGGCAGGAAGCCCCCAGCCAGGGGAACTGCAGAGCAGATGCATGTGAAGATGCATCTCAGGTAGCTTGAGAAAAAACTTTCTGGGACATGCAATGGTAAAGCAGATGCTCAGTGCTGTGTTTTTGTATTAAAAAACAAGCAGGATTCAAACAATTAAGCTGAAATTTTTAAAAAATCCTGTTTCTGTAGACAAAGCGATGTAGGAGAGCAAGCACAATGCAGAGTTACACAGGGGCACAGAACAAAATACATTCACAGAAGGGAAAAGGCAGTAGAAAACTTAATTCTGTCTTTGTTTCAGACATAAGCGTCTCCTGCACTGGCCTAGCATTATCCAAGTCATCTCAACGTCAAATCCATGAAAAAACCTCCTCTAGTAAGTTAAATAATGCACTGTTAACATGTAACTGTTCTCCCTGCATCTCATAACGTCACCCAGTTTAATATCACTCCAGCTAAAAAATAAAGCCTTGATATGGAAAATGTTTACTCCACATCAAATATCTTTATTAGCATACGTCCTTCCACCGCTTTAGAAACAGGACTTGAAAAACACCTTCTCTGTGTCACTTTGAGGATCAAACCTTTATTTTGGCAGCTTTTCCTGATTAAGGAAAAGGCAATATCAGCCTACACCAAAATTAAATTAAGGAAATCACCAAATTACACTGATGTTAGAACAAATGTTAAGTTACAGAAGCAATTTTAACCTAATTTTAACATCGCTTGAGGTTTTATTTCACAGCTATCAACGTTCAAGAGATGAACCGGTGGATAAAAAATGAAGGGGTGGGACTGAAGCTTGAGTTGAACGCTATCTTTGTTCTGAATAATGAAGTCTCCTATCAGTAAAAAAAACCCCACTTCTAACACAGGAACAAAGTTCTTTTAAAAGCTTTTGGCTTACGTCCATTACTGCTTCAACCAATTAGCCATGCTATCTGCTGACAAATTTTATTTTCAACTTTGAACAACCACCAAAAACAAACCCAGTGAGAAGTATTAGCAGGTGGTTGGAAAAGAGGATTACAACTCCATTATATTCACTCAGTTTAGGCATAGACACATTTGGTAGTTTAACACCAGTGGTTATAGCCACGGCTACAGTAGGGAAACTGTCACCTGAGGAGGAATCTTAAATGACAGAAAACACTCATTTAACTTACAGGTTTGTAGGAGTGTAACTGGATTTCAGAATTTGGCTTCCACATTAGTGGAGTATTTTCAATTATTTAAAAAGATAACACCATTTTAAACTCATTTAAGACAGCAACGTGGTCTAACGCCACTACAATAAAAGTGTTAGCACGAAATAATGCAGATATCAGAACTGAAATTATTATTAGTCAGGTTTTGCAATGCATTTATTAATATTAAACACTGAAAATGTTAAAAATGGGAATAGTAAGTAGAGTTCTACAGAAACAGACACTTTCTACGTGTGGAACAAAAAAGGAAAGGAAAAAGCACAGAGCTTCAAGACCACAAAGCCATGGAGGATCCCTCACCTTAGAGCAGGCTTTTTCAGTTTGCATGCATTGAGAAGATTCACAGACCTGCTTAATCCAGAGTGAGAGGTGCGTGAACAAAGCAGAACAAACAGTGAATGCAACAGTCAAACGCAGAAACAAGACATTTCAACCCAAGTTACATCAAGAGACATCAACTGCATGCTTGAAGTCACGTGCAAGAGTAAACAACACAGCGCTCCTTGACTCCACCAGTGTCTGATCACTGCAAACCATCCATCCAAGGACACCAATGTATCTTTGAATGACAAAATCTCAGCAATGCTCTGACCATTTCTAAAGCGACCCAATAAAATAAAGAGAGAAAATCAAAAAGGCTCTCTGAAGAAACAAGACAGACGATCCAGCTAGGAGACAAAGACTATTAAAAAAGCAACAAGAAAGACAAGACAATCAATCCCCATGTGTACATACAGAGACCACTGCATAGCATGAGTGTTTCAGATGGTTGCATTGCTGAATTGTGGTAAAACAAATCTGGCCAAAATTAAAGAAATATATACGTAATTATCCACATTGGGTGGGAGGAATAAAAGCTGTTGAATAAAATAAATTAAAAAAACAGTGCGCAAGGTTCTTAGACAGTAACTGATGACATTCATAATATTTTGAAACCTGTCTAGCACTCTTTCTGACCCTCATTTAAATCAATTAGAATAAATTCAGGAATAACATACGACTTTAATTTCGCGATGCCTTTGAGCAAAACGCGCTAATAACGTTAATTGTCAGAGATACCGTGAAGTGCCTTAATAGTTTTGCTGCGCCAAGTTCAACGGAGAGGGATTTCGTTTTAATTTCTATTCGGTTTATTTTAAAGCATTTTCCTTGCGAGTCAAGTGTTAAATAGAAGGCTTAATTGAAGGGTCGATGTGGAGTTTGTGTGTGTGCCAGTTACAAACCACCGCTGCCCCCGAACACAACACACACCATCAATTCCAGGCGGCTGCACCATTTCCTAGGGGCCATGTGTTTCGAGTTGAGAAGAGCAGGAATTTATCATATTAAAGTATTTTCTTCTCCCTGCAAACAAAGCTCTTTATGTTTTCTTTGTTCCAGCTTCTTCCTTTTGATCTCCATTGTCGGAGTTTCGCGGCATTGTGATGCTGTAGGATCTGCGGGGGGAGGAAGAGTGACGGATCGTCTGCTCCTGAAAGGCAAAGCCTCCAGCCCGCACCAGCATCCCCACTGCGAAAGGTACTGCCTGCATTCACCACCCCTTATTTAGCGTATTTCTTCTCTTTTTCCTCCTCAACTCTTGGAAACAAAGCTCTCCCAGATGAGTCACAAACCCTTCGATTTTAATAAGGGACACAAAACATGACTACTGTGCACTGGCCGAAGTCCAAAGGCAAATTTAGTGTTAAGCAGGGAGCTTCGAGCCACATCGCATCTGAAAAGAGAAAGTGCAGGGGGAAGGGAAAGTTCTGCTCAAGATACACGAGACTCATCTTATTCTGAATGAAAATTTAAATTATTCTACGTACAAAGTTCAGAACAAAAAAATGAAGTGTTCAAAAAGCTGGTGCTTGAAATAGCTTCTACACTTCGACATCGTTAAAGGAGTAAATATAGTGAACTTAAAATCAAACCCTCTGAGCAAAGGCTTTTTGCAAAGACGACTGTGAAGCACTTTACAAAGGCAGGCAATTCTTGATTATTCTTGATTATCTGAGCCAGGGCATCGTAAAATCACTTCAGCTCCACATTAACTGTTCACATCGTGCCCCATCACCGGCACCTCTTGGTGCTGGACCAGAATTTTTGGTCCCACTATCACCAAGCTTTATCTCCATCACGTTATCACCATATACTTTTATAACCCAATTGATTTTCCAGTTGTGCTTTTGCTCCATTCCTTTCTCAACGTGGATAATTGGGTGTTGGCTGTACGAGATCTGAGCACTGAAGGAGGTTCGGTGCCCTCAGTTCTAATTGAAGGCAGAGTCAGTCGAGGTTACTCGATGCTTTGCAGGATCTGGATCTAATTATCACATTAGGTCCTACAATAACCTCCTGATAGCCAGAGATGCACATCTTACATATGGAAAACCAATATGCATTGAGGTTAAATGATTTGCATAAGGTCAGGGAGAGAAAATGCAGCAGAACTGAAATAAAAGCCTGCTGGTTCTACCCGTGCAGCCTGGAGCCTTTTTTATTACCTCCACTTTTCTATTCCTGCCAGAAGTCATTTCCATTTCAAATATTAAATGTGAAATCAGAAAACGTGGGGAACTCTGAACCGCATCTCCTTGGCAATGCAGCAAGGCGGGTAAGCAGCACAGCAACCTGTGGGTTCAAACGAGTTAACCAACGCCTTGAGACCCAGCTGCTGTAGGAAACGAGCTCGTGTCTGCAGACAAATCAATACATACATCCATTTCTAAGCACTGGCGTGTATGGATGCACGCTTGGTCCCCACAGAGATTATTTGCATGTATTTATATAAATATGCATGACACACGGTTCCAAGGGACAGACTGATGTGATTTCAATCGGTATCATACGCTTCCTAACCTAAACTGTGACAGCAGCAGAACGCAGGAATCTGAAGTTAGTTATTAGTTACCCACCTTTTCCTCACTGTGCTCAGGAAAACACCTCCTTTAAGAGAAGGCTCAGAAAAAGTAAATCTTTTTTTAAAAAAACTTTTCAAATGTTAGTTTTTTCATATTTTGAAAAAAGATTCCGATTTTTCAGTTCTGCACCTGTGTTGTATAGGAAAAGTATTAAAAGTATCCAAGCTGAAATTAACACTTAGTTCTGTTTAGAGCTGCTATGCCAAATTACCATACACTGGACAAAAGAATACTAATGCTAGAAAGTAAAAGTATTATTGCTAGAAAGTAATAGCAGTTTTAGAATCAGTTTATATGAAAAGAGCACTATAAAAGCATGACAAAAATCAGAACTAATTAAATTATTAAAAATTACACACCGTGTGTGTAAACTGTTCAACAGTGAGTGAAGCTTCTTAACACAAATAAACAAGTCCTACCCCTTAAAAAAAGAGGAAGCTATTCGATCTTGCTGCTGTATTTCCATTCCTGTTTTATGCATGCACATACACAGTTCCTGAATGTAAAAGGGCCCATTATAAATATAAGGTATGAATAAATTCATATTAATGAGTTCATAATGAATTCATCTACTTGACTATTTGCAAGTAAGCTACCTGGAGCACTTAATACATCATCCTTAAATATTGACTATCTGGAGCATAACTTTCTATAAAAACATGAAATCTCAGCAGCTATTTTAAGATTCATTATCAAAAGCTACTAAAAGCAGAGAGTAATTTACCAAATGTTTTGTACAGTAACTCACTGGTGAAGTCCTCCCCGTTCCACACTCCTCATGTTGAAGTATATTTACAGGCAAGGCATAGAAATATACTTTAATATAATTTAATAACAAATATAATTTGCATATTAAATACAATCAAGACATAATTTTAGAGAATTTGATGGGAACAGGAATTAAGAGAGTCTAAAAATGCTCCCTAAGTACTTTCCCACTCTGGGTGCAGATGGGCGAGGTAGAAGAGCTGTAGGGTCTCTTATCTATAGGGATCCTGAGCTAGGATAACATCTACAGGCAATACCTCATGGACCTCCTGAATTTTGAAAAGGATACTCAGAATAAAGCCCAAATATGATCCTGACCTGCATTTATCCACTCCGCTCTGGGGCAGAAAGTCCTATACTGAACCTTAGGGATGGAGCATGGAGCCTGAGGAATGACCGCTGTAGCCAAGGGAAGGCTGCCAATGCTGCTGCTTCCCCATGTGTTTCATAATTACTGCTTGAAACTTTATTAGAGAGAATGAAATTCTGAGAATTATTAAGAAAAAATAATTTGTAGGAACTCTCTACAATGACAAAATCTGAAGTTGCCTGGAAAAATCAGTCCCCTTCCACACAGTGAGAGGCAAATCCTTCGTCACCATCTCCCCTTAAAGAAAAAATTCTCTTTACAAACGCGACCTCAGATCTGAGCAGGTCCGAGCTCTCATCTCCTCAACTCGCCCTCCTCAGAGCTGACAGCATCATCCCTACAAAAGGCTGAGGATGACACACAACAAAAGAAACGTATAAAAAACCCCAAACCCCACATCTTTTACAGGCAATCCGTACAGCAGAGCAGCACTTGTAACCTGAACTTGCTGCACGCGACCCACAGCGCTCCTCATAACCTAAATGTATAAAACATGAAGCCCACTTAACAACAACACACACACAAAGCAAATTGAGATAGAGCAGTAATTTTTAAAAGGCCTTAAATAGATGCTAATGGTAAGATAGCTAAAGATGGATGTTTTCATTTGCATAAGTATGTGCCAGGCGCAGAAATTTCCTCCTCCTCCCTGAGATGCTTCTACCACTGCACACGCAGTTTCTATGATAATTTTCAGTGAGAGCAAACCACCAAGGGTAACACAGTGGTTTGCCATGATAGCACAGACTACATACTTTATTTCTTTTATGTATTTTTTGGTATTATTTCTCTACAGACTCTGTATTTTCTGCCTCTAAAAGAATTCTTGCACTACTTTTCATGTCACGTTGTGCAACAGCACAATGCAACGCTTTATTCTCTGTATGCCAGACAAGAAAATAACACAAACCAGGAGCCCGAGCACTGTGTGTTCTTTCAGTATTCATGGTAATAACCTTATTACCATGAATTAAACCAAATTAGTTCAAACCATTAAACCAAATAAGTTTCAAGCCTCTTAGAATGAAATCCATCTCTCCGTTTCTTTCCGAGCTAAATATTCAGACCATTGCTTTGCAAGTCAGAAAAGCTAAAAAGAGGAGCTACGTTATGGTTTCAATGTTGCCATTCCAAAGTGTGTGATCCATGCGTACCTTTTTGCTGCTGGTGACACTGTCTCCTTTCTGGTTCCTGATGGGGAAGGTAAAGAGCCACTTGGTTTCTTTGGTAACACAGTTCCATTATTAACAGTAGTCCTTAAAGGCAGGGTTTGTACCAGCGGTCTTGCTGTTAAACAAGCAGAAAATTAAATCATTATTGTCATCTGCTTTTATTTTTCCCCAGCAAACAACATTACAGTATTCAAAAATATCTGTATGCTACGCCATTTTTATTTTACTGTTGCCAAATTCAGCATAGATAAGGGATTTAACAAGGAGGAATCTTTCGTTTTTTCATTTGTAATCATATCAAGCAAATAATCTGCACATGGCCTAAGCACAACATTCAATAACCTCACCTGTAAAACTCTGTCCCAGTTCAAGGAGGTTGAGGTATGTGCAGAAGTGGTCAACGCCACCCAGACCAACCCTGCGATGTTCATGCAGGATTTCCACGAGAAAATGATTTATTAAGAAATAGTTATTCCCCCCTAAAATCCCTTATTTTACAGAACGTGGGCTTATATGTGACAAAAAGGAATTTTACCCTTTAGCTGGAAAAAGCAACTGAAATCAGCAAAACAGTGGACTTAATAATCAAACATTGGCTCAAAAAGTGATACACGTGTCACAGCTGTGATTAATATCAGAAAAATGGAAAGCTTCCATTAAGTATATTAGAAATTAGTTCCAAAAATGAACAGTGGTTAAAACTGCAAGCAACGAGCACGAACACAAAAACTGCAGTGGACCATGCCCTGAAACACAGACACAAACACGAGCGCTGCTCTCCAGGGAGAAACATCACTGCCTCCATCACTCGAAATCTGTACCACAAATCGGTTTGGTGAAGATGCCAAAAGTCTCTGGGTTCAGAGAAACAACACCTGAGGGAAGGCGAGGGTCACAAATCACTTGAGGAACAGAAGAGAAAACTTCACTGAACTTTGGAGAGCGCAGCAGAGAATATCTGCAAAATGCTCCTCAAAGAGAGACTGCTGAGGAGAAATCATCTAAATAGCAAAAATTAAAAAGAAAAATCTAAAAGTTAACAATTGTCTGTAGTCCTAGGTTACATTATGACAGCATCTGATTGTAGCACTGATGGCACAATCTATTTTAACAGACTAATGCTGTCTCTAGAGCTCATGCTGAACACCTAAAACTGACTGTACTTTGGCTTCTCATGCTTCTATTTATTTTTTTTTAAATTAATTTAAATTCTATTTACTTCTACAGTATTCATTCTTCCAAATTAAAATCCTTCTACAGTTTTGTGCTGGATGCTTCATTGCTTCTTTCCCAAGTGCTGTGATTAATCTGTACGTATAAAACCGATCCAGAAGCATGGAGAGCTACAGTCGAGGCTTGTTTCCTGACAAGATTTCTGTAGTTCACAAAACTTTAACGAGGCTTTGAGATCACAAATTAGAACGGCAATTAAGGTTAATTAAACTAATTAATAAAATATTTTCCTTCTTTATAGCTGCACAAAAAATACCTATTAAAAAGTAGCTGCAGTCTGTTTACTCTCCTAACCTCATGAAATCCAAACTAGCAAACACCAGGAATAAACCCTGCAACCTTTAACAGAGATTTTGCTGTAAATCCAACTCCAACCCAGAACACACAGTTCTGGAGCTGGAGAGTTAAAGATGCAGCTCCACGGTCAGCAAGTGTAGACAGCAACACCACAAAACTCTTACACGGCACACAGAAACAATAGATGTTATGCAATTAACCCACTATTTACCCAGGAGCTGTTTAGTTGTATTATATTTATTACTTAACAGCTATTTCACACCAGTGGTCACCGACAGAACAGTCAAACAACCCCAAACGTGCCATTGCTGTTAGGAGTCAGTAACTCAAACTCGGCGTTATTGCTTTGTCAGTAATGTTGATTTTGGCAGTGGTGTTGCTCCAAGCTCTTACCTGTGGCAGCGGGACTGACATGTTTATCAGCCTCAGCAGCAGCTTTTTTAGTCACACTCTGATCTATGGATTAATGGGGCTGTTCAGTTTACGAACAAACCAATAACCGCAAAAGGAAAGAACAACAAGTGCAACTAAAACAAAGGCAGGAAGCCACACTGAACTCTGAGTGGGTGAATTAAATAAGGAAAAGGGGCAGGGATGACATCCAAAAACCCAAAATATCATCAGTGGAGGAGCTCCACGAATGGACAAGCTCAGGAGCTCATTTTCCCTGATGGTCGCTGCTTTTAAACTGCTTACCCCAGTCTAGAACAAGAACGCACACGAAGACTGAAAACGAGCTCAATTCAGGTTTGAGAGACTGAACCTTGAAATCTTTAAACCAATTTTCAAACCTGAAGTACTCCAAAAATGCTGTTTTCTGTCCCATGAAGCTTCCTGTTCCAGACTTTAAATGGAGATCCTGTTTTCCGGAGGCACAAACACGTGCTTTTAATCCTAATCTACGGCATCTACAGAGCAAATTAAAGCAGCAGCGTACAGTATGCTTCAAACCCACTATTTCTGTGACACTTTGTAAGCTCAACTTCCACTTTTTACAATCCTCAATGTGGATTAAACATTAAATGATCAATGGAAAGAAAATGGATCGAGTCCCATGCAGCCGAGTGAAGAAGCCACCGCTTTGGTTTTACCCATGTCTGAGCAAAAGCCCTCTCCTGAATCTCCATCAGGAGCCTCTGTAATGCTCTTCCAGTCCTGAAATTCAGCTTAGTCTTATGCTAAGGAACTTCATATAAAACAGTTGTGCCTATGGCAGGAAAAACAGGCCATCATGTGAAACGTGTATGTGGCAAAATAGCTGTAAGAAATAACCAGGATACTTCAAATTCTGGTTGATGTTACAAAGTACATTTAATAAGGCTGATCACACACTAAGGATACAACTGATGCGTAGTAAAATCAAAAGTTCTTTACATAAATCCTTACAGCGGCAATTGTTTCCAGAAATTAGCTGGATTTAGTTGGCAATTATCAGGACTTATCTGAGGAATTTGGAATGGATGAGCACTCGGCTTTGCAGTCCTCCCTTTGCATTATCACAGTACAACTTCTTACGCTGTCATTTCACACACACAGTAAGAAGTATCCATGCCATACACACATATTTAAAATAAATTAAAAATCCCAAACAAGTTAAATCCTCCAAAAAGCCATACAAGGCAGAAAGCAGCTTTTCTTCAATGTACATTTAACTGTGGCTTTAGTGATCTGCCACGACCAAGAAAGCGTCTCCTGATTTAGAGCTCAACTCTGCCCACAGAACCCAGGAAAATCTGGTCCGTATTTTGCTAAATAAGCCAACAAGCAAGAACAACTGATTTGGCTACAACTCAGTAATAATCACTCGACTTTATTTCCTCCATGCATCAGATAAGATCTATTTTAAAGGCAACATAAAGCCTCTTAATTCCTTGTACAACCGGATTTGGTAAGATCAGTTTATCACAGTGGAGGTTATCTTTAGTAACGTTTAACTCATCTGATATTTTAATTTTAGGGTTGTTTTTTTTTTGCAAACAGACAAAGGCAAAATGAGAAGAACACAACAGAAATGGAAGAGAACAGGAAAACAAGATCACAGGTATTTGCCGCATATTCTGTCCAACAACTGTAGTGATATATGATCAACTTATGCGGCTCTGTAATTCTGCCCCTTTCTCCTTTCCTCATGTCCAGACATAAAACATATATTATGTCCCACATAACACATTATGTGACATCTCAGTCCAGGAAACCAATTAAGTAGTTCCTTACCGATTCTGTCAAATCAATGCCTAAAAGTAAATCTCCGTCTCAGAGCCACAAATTTAGAACTAAAATGAAAGGAAGTCCTAATTTCCAGCTCAGAAAATTAGTAATCCATACTTATGTATTACTATTTCCAATGTGAAGTAAGGTTTAAATTTATATTAATACATACTGGGACCCCAAAAGAAACAACTTCTTAATTTAGACAGCAGAGAGCCTGTGAAGTCAGCCACAACTTTATATCCACGTCTCGGCTGCCACCACTCTTAGTCCTGAGACTCCCCCAAAATACCTCACTCATTCCTGCCAAGCTGCAGCCAGGCAGTCTCCAGGGCTTTTGTAGCCTACAGTAAACCACACCAGTTGGGTTCTAATAAACCTTACGTTTTACTTAAATTTAATTAACGTTTTCTGCCAGAAAAAAACCAACTTGTAGGAGTTTCACCCACAGAAGATGAAACATTCCCCAAAGAGTCTATAAAATAATCTTGATCACAAGTCAGGAATTGGTAGCCACGGTTAAATGCAGGGAGTGGATTAAGCAGCGAGAACATGGGAATGTTTGGCTGGTTTATAAGAGCTCCAGAAAGCTCTCAGATTCAACCACTTGGCTTTTTAGGTGCTCTCTTTAACAGGTTAGATTTCAAGATTACTTCTTTTCTTTAGTGTGATTTGTTGATCTTGAGCATTACAAAGATCTAAAGAATAATAATTTCAATACATCTAAAACCCTCACTGAATCGCACTACCTATTTTAGATACATCTGAAATGCAAACCTTTGGTAGGTCCTTTCTTGTTCTGCATGGCCTGCTGCTCCTCGGTAATATTCAAGCGCCGAACCACATCGGCAAGGGCAGATTTAAGCAGCTGGATGTCGTCTTCCTGCATCTGGACACGTTGCTCCAGAGAGGCGATGCGATCCGTCACCTCCATGCTGCTCGCAGCAGAGGCACTGTCATCTGAGTGATAAAAAGCACAAAAAGATGCTTTATCAACAGGGTGGAACCATCGAGGAGCACCTCTTAGAGCTGCCTGGGGGCAGAAAAACAAGGTTTTTCTCAGATCTGACGACTTCTTGAGGAAGAAAGTTTGTAAGTGACCAACAGGAAGAGATGGAAAATAAATAAATACATAAATAAGTAAGAGTATTTAAGTCAGATGCAATAATGAGGTTGGCTTCAGGGCCACTTAGTGTTAATTGGGCCCTAGTATTAATTATCTACATGTCTGAACCGGAGCGATCAACCATCACCCATTGCTGTTCCCCTCTATAACATTCAGGTAAAGCACTGTAATTTCTGATATGCTACACACCCTGCTAGATATTTATACATTTCTCAAGTATTTTATACATTTCTAGACTTTGTTTACATTTTAATGCATACATTGGACATACACAAGCCACAGATAGGCATTTTCAAGTGCTGCCCACAGACTGAAGATGTTAACCCCATCTGCTAACTCCTAATTTCCACCCTGAGAACGATCCCCTGACTGAAATAGAAACATTCAATAAATTCTGAATTACTCCGTAATTGTACTCGAAGCCTGCAAATTCTTACCAGGGTCAGTACTTTGCATACAATTCACCCATTATTTGGAAGTTCCCCACAAAAGCTTAAAGCCTGCAACTCCCTGATGAGGACTAGGCATTCTTTCCACCCCAAACCAGTAACAGGGGTATTTTTCCTAAATAAGCACTTTTGTTCCACTCCAGTTCCTATCACACAGAAACACTGTCATTTCTTACAGTATTAAGTTATGGAAAAGAAGAAGAAAGCAAGACAAAAGCAAAGGCAAAGATGTCAAAGGGAGTGTCTATTAGGGAAATAAACTGTATAAGTTTGAAGAACTGCAAGGTTTTATTTAACTAGGTGGATTTGAAACCTAAAAAAAAAGTTGGGTATTAACTTATTGGATCATTTTATGTAACGTTAGCCAAGTGATGACTGGATTGCAGCTTCCATTTGAAGACTTAGTAAGTTATACTTTAGAAAAATGGATATTTATGCTACTACCTACAGTTACAATTGACTTCTCCCTCGTTCCTGATGTGAGTCCATAGCACATTTTTCCTCTGATAAAGCCGATCTCTCTTTGTGAAGAAGCTGGTATTTGTTTTCATTTCTTGTGTACTTAACTCTCCCCTGTTCCAGACCAGAGTTTTCCACTTCTTTTGTACCAGGGCATAAAATGAAAGTTCAATGGCTAGTGCCTAATAATAACTAGCGTTGGATTTTCAAGCAAAGTAAGTGTTTCGAATAGGAAAGCAACAGCTTCTGAGTGCATTTAAAAGCATGTCCAAAAAAGTTCATACATACAAATGTTTAATTAGAAGGGTCTGGGGAAAAACTGCATTTAAAATTTTAAAATAAAATCTATTTATCTCCAAACCACCCCAAGACAAATTGGTTTTGAATCTGTTCATAAACCACATTTTGGCTTCCTTACCCCTCCCACCCCCACCAGTTATTTGTGGTTTCCAAAGCTGAACTAGAAACAACTCCGAAACAAAGATTACAACAATACTGACAGTCCCTAAATAGCTACAGTTATATAGTTTATATATAGTTATATAGTTTATATCTAGTTTATATATAGTTATATAGTTTAAATTGCTTGTTATTTCTGTTATAGGATTTCCAGAGCACATTTAAAATATCAACATTAGGATTTTATTAGGCTAAATATAGCGGCAATAGAAGTAAGTTCTGAGCAAACTAAACCAAAACCCAAGTTTATGAAAAATGCCAAAAAAACCCTTTCCTTGTGACAAAGTTTTCCAAATTCTGGCTGAATTCGAGCCCTGCTCACGCCATTCCAGGTGATTAATCCCCAAACTGCAATCTGCCTGCAGAACTTAACCTCTCCTTGTACACACAAAGGGCCCACGCTGCTCCGATGACTTTACACCGCAACTCAGCTGGAAATAACAGGGATTAGCATAGCAGACAATGGGCAGCCCAAGCCAAAGCTTGATTTCACCACGACAAGCCAAATTCAAACTTGCCAAACTCAGTTTGCTTCTGAGTTCAGTCAATAAAAAAAATCGCCAATTCCCAAATTCAGGGCAGAGAAGGAAAGCCAGGGCGCAATCGGTTGGTGTTAAACTCATCTAGTCCTTGTTACGAGAGAAAATATCCCCAGTGAAGTCTCCATTTCACTGATTTTTAAGTGTGCAGAAACAGTAAAAAAATTGCCAATTCCCAAATTCAGGGCAGAGAAGGAAAGCCAGGGCGCAATCGGTTGGTGTTAAACTGATCTAGTCCTTGTTACGAGAGAAAATATCCTCAGTGAAGTCTGATTTCACTGATTTTTAAGTGTGTAGAAACAGTAATTTTGCCCCAACATAAATTCAATTCGAAAATCGGCATAACCTGTTTGTTACGCAAGGAGAGCGTGGAATGTTCTCGCCCTTGAGATCCTTCTATCCCAGTACATTGAGCAATAAAGTCACAACTTCAACGCAGCCAAGTAAGCAAAGTGGTGTGGCATCAGGAAAAGAAATAAATGAATGATATAAACTAGCCAAATAACAACAAAAGCCCCAAAGGATGTCATTTCCTCTGCCCACAAGAGCTGCGCTGTCAGCCTAACCCGTGATCTGCCTCTGCCCTGCTCATCTTCACCAAAAGGAGCATTTGCAAGGAAATTTTTCGCACACATTCGTAATGCAGTTTAGACTGAGTAGAGCCATCTTATTTGTGTTGTTCCCAAGGTAATTAAATTTAAAATGACTTTACATTTTATAGCACCTACTGCCACGTTTTCCCAAGGATAAAGCACATCCTCATGCAGAGGGGAGCACAGGGGCACAGCTGAGGCCACCCACTGCTGTGGGTAGAAATTTGCAGCAATAATACATAAACCACTGCAGTTTTACAATATAATAAGAATACCATTATGTCAATACATGTTAATAAGTGTGACGCTATATTTAACAGCATAACAACTCTTTAACAGTGTGAATAGACGTAGTTTTTGTGACCTCTCTGCAATCCAGCTGTCATAAAACCCCCAGATGTTCACCATCCTGAAAGGCACATGAAGGAGACCACAAATCCAAACAATTTGCCTTGGAGAATTAAATCTACCCCCACTTTTGCCTATGGACAGACAGAAAAGACACTGTGTCACCTATGTGGGTAGCATCTATAGGATGTCAGAATTAATCACTGCCTCTTTTTTCCACCAATGGGAAGAAAAAGGACTTACAAAGTGAAATTTGTGCAACCCGCTTTCAGAAACCTGCAGTGAATCGCCTTCTACAAGTGTTCATTTCTTTTTATAATCACCGTTTCCAACATGTAAATCTACATTTCATAAGATAAATGCCACCTACAACGTCCAAAATTAGACAAAGCGAGGAGGTATCAAGTCAGATGCCCGATTTTTCATCGTAACACGTATCTGTGGTACAGCTTGGAAAGCAGAGTCATTTGTGCTTTGCTGAGATCCTGCAGGTTTCAAAGAGCAAAAAAAGGGGAATGTTCTTCACGCCTCTCTTTTAAATTTTCCAACCAGCTCATCCATGAGCTCATAGATTGGAAAGACTTCTTGGGGCAAACTAAAAGACAATACTGACTCAGATGATTCATCTGCTTCCAGAGCAGCTTCCAGTTTTTTTTCAGCAATTTATTACTTCAACTTAGCCAAATGTGAAGAAACACCTGAAGCAAAGCCAACCGCAGGACATGTAAGCTGTTTATAAGAATTTTTTCTCTATTATTTCATTGTATGTAGGGTAAAGCAAAACGACACACTACTAGTTGAAAAAAGCACATTAAACCACTATATTTTCTACAGATTCTACCTGCTGGAAAACGTAAATCTGAACTGTACACATTAATTAAAATTAAAATAGCCTTGGCACATTCTCCGCAGCAGAATGACTTCATTAAACATATTCTACCTTTGCCTTATGCAGACATTAATTCTGAGGCTGGCTTGTCCAGCTCAGGCCATGGCAGCTGATGAAGGAGTAGAAACATCAGGTACTGATTCTCAAAAGGCTGGCAAACAAATGTGAGTTTATTCAATCCACACAGTCTCTTTGGAGCACCAATTAACGGGATCAAATTGTACACTAAGAACTTCCAAAATGTTTCAGAATAAATTCTGTGCCTTATATGTTTGTAGAGTACCTAGCACAATGGGGGTGTGGTTGCTAGACACTGCTATAATACGCTTTAAAAGCAGCATCTTAAAGTCTTCACCAGAGGTGTTCCCAAATGAGACACTCTGCAAGGCATCAGAAAAGAAAATCTAAGCCTTCTGGGGACAGAAAATGCCAGCAAAAATTAAAGATAACCCACATGATGGAAACCACGGCACCGGATGGCAGAGAAAAGGCAGCGCCACTTGCACACAGAGATGCCCTTCTTTTAGCATAAAGATTGTGCCAAATTGAGTTTAAATGGCAGGAAAACTGTCCTGGCACTGAGAGCTATCAGGAAGCATATCCCACTCTGCACTTCTCCTGAAATTCACTGGTACAAGTATTTGCACTCCTTAAAAATCACTGTGAACTTCAGGACTGCTCCCAGAGCCTCCTGAAATGTGCACATGGACAGAAAGGAGCTCTGCTGAGAAAGCCCACCACACCAAAGGAGAGAAAGTCATGAACTGCATTTATTAGAGAATAAACAAGCAAAAAAGCACAGTCCTGCAGCTGAAATTAGATATGGAGACATATAGACTGGATTTGACCCTGCATAGTAGCAAGCAGTGAAGATGCTACACTACAGAAGCATTTTTCCACCCGTAAGGGTTCACATCTTTCAGACTCCTTTGCAAAACTGTCAGCTGTGGCACACATCACTTGGTACGAATTTGGAAACCTCCCCTGCTCCTGCCCACATCATCACCGAGATCTCATGCAAGTAATTGAGTTACTCTTGAAGCTCCCTGGGAGCACACCAGCACTAACTTTG